ACATTTTGTTTATTTCTTTGTTGACTTTTCACGCGTAGCTACTACTCAAATGCTATTTGCGCTTGCTGTCCCTAATTTAGAAGAGCTATGCTAGAGGGAAGGCAGTTAGTATACACCGCTCACCGCTAATTCTTGGACTACAATAATCGAATAGTGGGATTATCGTCACGTTATAACGCTCCCACAGCTGAGAGAGTGAACATGTTTAGGGATGAGATTCGAACTCGTGACTCGCAAAGTCTAGCGCCCTAACCATCAGGCCAATTTCTCAGTTTCTTAGATTGACATTTAAAAAGAATAATTAAATATGGAAGACATATTAATTAATCCTTCTGTGGGACAGGAGTAATTCTACGGACTTAAAATTCTAAAATCCGGGGTTCAATTACCTACGATGGACACAGCAGATAGCCCAATGCGATTTTGCTCTAAAAACAAACAAATACATTAATTATTCGCGAAAAGAAAGATTCAGATACTGTGAGTACGTTTATAATTACATCAACTCTTTACATATTATTCCAGACGAAACGCATATCCTCCCCACAATCGTTAAAAATATCACCCCTTTGTGTAACGCATTTTAATAGTTTTCAGTTTTTTTCTTGTCACACCTCATCAGTTTCAATTGAGGTGTGGCAGTTTTGATATAGAAAGAAGTTAGTGTATAATAAAGGGTTAGTTGGTCTGGCTGGTATGAAGAGGTTGAAGTGATGTTGATGTAAGTCCATGATGTTCTGACCTGCGTATGACTGGCTGGTGAGTTGTAAAAACCGCCAGTGATATGGGAGGAAGTTTTGTTTCAGTTTGGGTACTTTGACTTTCTTCAAGTACTTTTATCACTGCCTGAGTTATCCGTTTCACTTCCCGAATGCCCAGTCCTCTCTTCTCAATATTACGATCAGCTTGAGATGTTGGAACAAAGGTTTCCAACCTAAGATGTGCTTCCTGGGGTTCAGCAAAGTCTTCGTAGCTTTCTTCTAGATCATGTTGTGCTTTTCACTTTGATTCGGATGTCCCTAATGTAATTACTTTTCCTCTTCTTGATTTTCCTTTGGCTCATCTGCATTTGGCTGCGAAACCTTTATTCTAGCTCCCGAGGAGCTAATCAATTCCTTGGTTCTTGAGCCTTCTGTAACAACAGCAGAGTTTGGAATGTACAAGAACACCTAGTCCTTGTTTAGGGCCTGCTGTTGCGATGAGGATAGTTCGTAAGAAGTAGGAGTGTTGTACATATCACAAAGTTGTATTATTGTACATACCACAAAGTTGTGTTGTTGGTCTACCACAAAGAGCAGGAGGGTATCTAGAACCTCCCATGATGGATATCTTTTCCATAGGATGAACCTCAGGGAACAGGAATGTTCTCATCCTTTTTTGTATACTGGCTGTTTTTCAAGGTGACCTATCTGATCAATATAACATAGTCTTTCTTCAGAGGTGCTAGGAACTCCTTCTCTGGTGAAGTATCTTATGAAATATGATTATGGTAGTTTCAGCCCAATTTTGGTTTTTATTCCATATTTATAATCTAGAATATTATAGAGATCCTAACTGAATCATTTTTTTCCCAATAATTTGGTATCTTTTAGTTGTACGTTTATTGTTAACTTTTAGTAACTTAAAGCTTGTTTATGATAGTGATCACAAGTTTAAACAGATAAATGTTTCTTAAATGTCGAACAAGCCTATAAAGTTGATACAATTAGAAAATTTTATGATTTCTTATATAACTAACCTGTTGAATAATTTGTTGGAATAAAGCTTTAGTAAAATTACTTTATGTCAAGTACAAGTACCTTTTGGAACAGATTATTTGAGATCATTATTTCATGTCTTCACTTTCCTATGTGGAAATTATCAGAATCAAATACAAGGACAAAGGTTAAAACAACGTAACGTATATATTCTTGTTTCTATATAGTGTTTTGTGCAATCCCAGACCCTCAACAGATCATACAACTGATTTATTATACAATTTTGTAAACTCTTCACCCATAGTTCATTTAACTATTCAATCTGTTTCATATACATGTTTCTGTATATATATAGAAAATTAATACTTATACAGTCATACAAAATAAAATCAAAAGGTTTCATTGTTTGTTTGCTTGTTTTTTGAATTTCGCGCAAAGTTACACGAGGGCTATCTGCTCTAGTCGTCCCTAATTTAGCAGTGTAAGACAAGAGGGAAGGCAGTTAGTCATCACCACCCACCGTCAACTCTTGGGCTACTCTTTCACCAACGAATACGAATAATAGGATTGACCGTTACATAATAACGCCCCCACGGCTGAAAGGGCGAGCATGTTTGGTGTGACGGGGATTCGAACCCACGACCCTCAGATTGTGAGTCGAGCGCCCTAACCACCTGGCCATGCGGGGCCAAAACCAAAAGGAAGGACTGCGTTAATAACAGCAAATCCAAACCTGTGAAAACCCGACATTCAAATGAACAAAAATAAAAAAGAAAGTTAAATTAAAGACGCTGCACAAATTAAAAGAATCCCCAAGGTACAGGCTGTAATTGAGACTAAAATTCAAAATAATTCTTCCATTACCATTCCTAGGTGTCACCCGTAAGTCATAATGGATAATGTCAGTGGTTATAGCGCCCAAACGCGTTGAGGATATTCCATCTACCAGACAAGATCCCGACGCCGATGTAAAACTCGCCTGCAACTAAGGAGAATCAGTTAAGGGTTGGAAGTTGAGTGTTTGAACCCACAACGTCTGTACTCTTACTGCCTTTTTCTGTCTGCAGCCAGTTGTGGGAAATCAGTCACCCTTAATATTTAGATATAACCTTAACATAGAATAAAACCATCCTAAGTTCTACAGTGTAAAACTCCCAACCCTCACACTTTTATTTAATATTATAAGATATAAAAAGCAAAATATATTCCTATAGTAGAAATATACCACCCTATATTTCTAGAAGGCTCCCAACCCCCACCCTTTAATTTAATAATTATGATGTTAAACAGAACTAAAAACCTTTACTTTAATAGCCCTTAAGCCCTCATCCCATCACTTTAACTTGACAAATTTGTTCAAGTATAAACCGGGTGAGCTGAGACAAGCCTAGCTACCTGAGGTTGGTCTTTCCGCCCCAGTATACTGAACAAAATCTAAATATGTTCACGTTAGTTAATTTATTTAAACCAAGTCACCTGTAAATTATGTGACGTTATTACAAACTTAACCCACCACAAGATAGTAAAGTTTACGAACTTACGGTTTGTGGTGGATGAATGGTACACGTAATTCAGTTTTTTGCCATAAGTGTAATCAAGTAAAACGTAAGCGCGATCACTATAATATGTCTTTAACAAACATGGCGATAGATAAGGCTATTTGGGTCCCGAGGCTAGCAGAGATGAAATCGCCCATTATCATACAAAGACAATATCGCTGAGTGTACGGAAAAGATGCACCAGTTAAGAATTCTATCAAGAAGGGGTACCAACAGTTGCCAGTATCAGGAAGCGTGGGTGGTAGACATGAAGTGAGGTGCTATGGGCCTCTTGCACGGTCGCTAGATATCACTCCTCCAGATGTTTTCCTCGGGGGTGCTACGTGAACTGATGATGATCAATTCAATGGGATAGGAATCGAATATCGCCTCGATATCTGGACGGCCACAATAGGAGAAAAGGTAGAAGGGTATTGATGGCGTCCTATTTATATATATGTACATATACACATAAGTGTGGTTAGCAACTGCTGCTATCGTTTAAATAATACATTGCCCAAGAAATTGAAAATACTTTGGGAAACTTCAAGAAGAAGTAAATGAATTTGTAGCTTCTGAAGTTCGTTAAGAAAATCTTCTTTCATAACTTTCTAGCTACAAATACCCCCCCAAGAAACCGGGTTTCAATTCCTGTGAGGGGGGCACAGTCAATCCTTTTTTTGGCCGCACCTTTTTTCACATCTAAGATGTTTTTGATTAGATATCATGACATTTTGTCAATACACACTAACAAGCTACAGCAAATAAGAAAGTAACACTCCATAGCAACCCACATTAGCTTTAGGATCGTAACCCTATTATTCGGAACCTTTACTTTACAGAACCAAACAGATTTTTTAAAATATATGCTGGTAGTTTTCCTATCTACAACAGTGTTAATAGCTAACTTACTGTACAAGGTTAAAAAGAGGTAAAACCTAGATGTGACTGGAAAACAATTTCATACATTCTACATGTTTCGATGTATATCTTGCATCATCTCAGGAGTGTAACGTTTTGCAAAATGTTTGGTTAATAGCTTCCTATACAGTAACGCCACGGAATTTAGATTAACAGTTTCTTGTCATCACTTAGTAAATTTGGGCTAAAAAGTTGGCAGTGAATAATCAATAATAACCGTCCACACGTATCATTATTTTGAAAACTTGAGCTAGAAACTGCTATTTTAGTTTGCTTGGCCTAACCAATATTTATGTATTTGCACGCCATTTTATCTTATAGTTTTGCTTCTCTAAATCAGCTGTCTTTAATCCGAATGACAAAAACTAAAAACTGTCTACTTTGCTCTTAGGTGAAGCTATAATAAAAATGTTAGACGATAGCTCACGTGACGTTTTGCGTAGGCGTGCGCAAACATTTTTGTCAAATCTGAGCTGTTTTTGTTGAATAACATTGCTTATATTTACACATAATTAGACTCCTAATTGTATGTTAGAAAGAACTATCAGTGTACCAAATGTGAAAAAAAATCCATAAAAGTTAAGTATGTTTTTCTATCAAGTAATGTTTCCGTACTTTTGGTGCGAAGAAAAAAGAAAGGAAGAAACTCAATCAAAATTGGAGATGTTATACCTTAGGTATTTCTTAATGGATTACCTTGATATTTAGTATGTGAAGTAAGAGTCCACTAGAGCACATTCACTGAAAATATATGATAGTTTGGATTACCAAAGTCCGAGATATAGACGTTGGAAAATCGCTAAACTATCACTCCTGTTAATGACGCACAGTGTGTCCTGTAGTAGGTGCCCCTCAGTGGCACTGTGGTATGTCTGCGAACTTATACTACTAGAAACCAGGTTACGATACCCGTGGTGGGCAGAGCACAGATAACACTTTGTGTAGCTTTGTGCTTAATAACAAAACAAATGTAGTAGGCTGTTTTGACCTCACGTCATACTACCTTGTGTCTTGATTGGTTGGTAATTCCTGTTTCACCCTGTACTTAAGCTTTCTGTAAGAAAGCTAACTTCAGAGGGTAATGATAACATCGTTTACATGAGAATTATGATTTTTAAATAATTACTACTAGTTATTGATAATACTTATAAAAGTGGATACTCCGTTTGAAACTATGTGAAATTGACACCCTTGTTTTGGGTTTTGAGTTATCATGTAATAAAGAAAAAGCAGAAGAAAGAAGAACAAGAAATTCAAACTTTTTGCTATGATATTTACAGACATTCCCAGAACTTGTGACGTAGTCACTTCATAGATGTTGTTATAAAAGGAAATACTGTATATTATGTAAATTCTGGTGATCTGTTGAGGAGATATTTAAAATACCATTTCGATGAATAATTCTAGCCATACCTACATAGGCCTTATAAGTTGACTTTCTCTCAATCTGAGTTGCTTATTCACTGTTGACAGCCTTTGTTCTCACCAAGTGTTCTTCCAGAGCAAAGACTGATCAGAACAAAAACATACAAGGTACCCAGAGAATTTGAGAGAGGACCTGGCGTCTACTGACAATGACAAGCATAAGTCAAGAGTTTACTTAGGCTGAGCATTAACTTCTTTAGACTTGGGACTACAGAGTATAACAAAAATGATCCCTTTCCACTAATTGGTTGAGTATTCATATACTTACAATGCATTATCCAGTATGATCTAACTGTGATACCATAACTTCTATACATTGCTTGAAATATTATATTTATTTCAGTGGACAACAGCTACAAACATGAACTACTGTCTACAATTTTACAGCTAGTTGGGACAGGGAACATTTGATTATAGTATTCCAAGCTTTACAACTAGGGATTAAACAATCCCTATAATTGCTTTGGTCTTTAAAACGTTAGCTCTGAACTCAATAGACATTTTCTTATCAGATAAATTTACAAATTGTTGTGATGCAGTTGTTTCACTAGGCTTCCATCTTTCTTTCAACCCGTTACTCAAATCCATAATTCTTATTTAGTTTTCAATGATACAGTTTCATGAAGAGCAGCTTAGAATTACCGAGAACGAACAATCGTTCAGAATTCATTCTCAATCCAAAAAACCATATAGGGACATGTTATTTTTTATTTTTTATGGTTGACTATTACACCAGTTCTCTTAATATCCCATGTAATGGTCAGATTTGATGCTATACTACATTATTGGGATTAGGAAATTAAATTCCATTTTCTTAGTATCGAAAAATACATGTAGTTGAAATGGATTATGTAAATTACTACAACTAAGTTATTATTCAGGAGATAAAATTTACTTTATAACTGCTATAGTTCTATCTTTAATATCCTTTTGACTTTATACTCGGTTTAGTCATTCTTTCATGTATGAACTGTTACATTAGGAGCAATTAGCTTCCATTATATGCAGACAATGAATGATATTTTAGATGTGGAACTTTGTAGGATTTAATGCTTATATCCCCTCCTAACAAATAAATTCGACATAAGTTGCATTTGTGAGGCTTGCAAATAGTGATTATGTCTGATAGATCTTGTATTCTGCTGTATGGGTATTACTTTCTTAGATACTACTCTTACTCGGGATAAGTTATCAAATGACCTCTATGCAGTTTGCACCATAGTTTTATTTGTCGGTTATATATGTAGGTTGACAAATGATTTGATTTAAAACTATTTATACGACATAAAACTGTAGTTATTTCAATTACTTGGCTAATAAGTAGAAAGAGAAAACCTATTCAGTTTTCAGAAAATGTTTCCAAATAACGTTAGATAATAGAATTAATGATGTGGGAATTAGTATGACACAATTCTAATATACACTATAAATACAGTCTTGGTCAAAATGTTTGCATAATGTTCTATATTGATGTTATTGTCTACATGAATGGAGTAGTTTTTGAGTAAATGCTCGAGTAATTACAAAAAATGTAGCTTATATCAGACAAACATGTACGTGTTGTTATTCTGGTCTTTATAAGTTGTTTTGAGCATTTGTTCGTCAAAACACACCTGTTTTGCATAAAAGGATGTGCTTTTGGTATAATCTTTCTCGAAACAAATCAACGCTTTGTTCAGACACGTTTTCTGTACTTGGTGTAGTGTCATGCCTTGTCATGTACCAGAAGTTATAGGGCGTCAAATTGTTCGAATGTCCAGAAATCGTATGAAGCAAACGGACATTGATAGAACAGTATAGTATCCAGAATCCTGAAACGTCATCTGACTACTGGAAATGTTGTACCAGGAACGTCTACTTCCTGAGATGACCGTATTTTGATCAGGTTAACACGTTAAGGTCGAAAAAAGTCTTGCAACACCTTACGACAGGAATGGCATGAGCACATTCATTTCAAGGTATCCAAAAGAACAGTGAATAGGATACTGACCAAACAAGGTTGTTTTGCAAAAAGAACTATCTACAAACCAATATTAACCAGAAGTAACAGCTGTCATTGTGTTATTGGGGCAAGACAGTATGCCAACTTACAGTTAGGACACTATCAACATGTCATTTTTTCCAGACGAATCCTGTTTCCGGCTTGTTAAAGCTGATGGTAGGATTCGTGTTCGTCGTTTGCCTGGAGAACGGATGAGGGAACACACAGGAGGTGACGCAGTACATGTTTGGGTAGCTATTCATCATGGTGGAAAAACTACTCTTTATATCCTCCAGGGAAATGTCAAAGCGCCTCCTACAAGCATCATATGGAGATGACATTACTGCCATGTGATAGGGCAATGTTTGGCAATAACTTTATGTGAGCGTATTGTTCAGGATTATCTCGACCAGGAGGACGCTACAAGATTGCCATGGCCAGCAAAGTCTCCAGATTGTGATCCTATTGAGAACTGTTGGGCAGAATTGAGACGGAAAATAGCTAACAACGACCCTAAACCAGCTAGTGAGTCTGAGATTGAATGCCTTCTAGTGATAATTTGGAATGAAATCACGGTGAGTTACATCAATAATCTCATCGACAGCATGCCAAGTCGCCTTGCGGATGTTATTAGAGTACAAGGAAGACCAACCAAGTACTGATTGTTTGTAATTTGATGTTCTATTTTGTTATTATATATGTTTTGACAAGGTTTTGTTGTGATATGTGAAGGGCTAAATTACACACCTTTCTAGGTGTCTGATAAAATTGTTTGATATCCATTGAACCTGTCTCATTATACAAATTACATATGTAGGTGGTTAATGTAACATGCATTTCTCAGTTTGACAGGGTTAGGTGTATTTATATTCTATGTTAATAATAATTATTTTATTTGTTACAAAATATGCAAACATTTTGGCTAAGACTGTATTTGACCTAAACATTAAACTGGTTGGCTCTATGGGAGAGCTATTAGATTTTGAACCTGGTGAGCGGGGTTCAAATCAGTGTAGTAAGAGAAAATGTTATCCAAACTGTAAGTTGTGGGTGCGTTATTAGAGTGACAGCAATCCTTTAACGTGAATGGTGGGTGGTAAGTTGTTGCTGGCTGGCTACCTTCCTTATGGCAAATAGTTTAAAATCAGGGACGGTGGCAAATAACCATTGTAGCTTTACCATAAAATATAAATATATATAAATTTAGTGTATAGTTACCAATTATTTACTATATTTTATATATAATTGATATTTGAAACCGTCGGTACTTGGTGAAACTCCATAATTCTGCAACAGTGAATTAAATTTTATTACAAATAACGTTTAAAATTCGATTCGTCCAAATATACCCGAGAAGTATTTGTGAAAATAAAATTCGTTAGGATAAGTCCTAAAATATCAAGATAACCAACTCTCACAAGTGTTGCATATTCCACTAGCTGAAGGTAAAAACTGTCCGAAAGATAATGAACTTTCTATTATATTATTAAGCGATAATAATTATTGAAATCTTTAAAGATCGATTATTTACAAGTATATTTGTTACATTAAATAATTTTCTCCAACAATAATGTTTTTGTTTCAATAAAATTAAAAAGAGACTGAAACGTTCATTAGAAAGCAATATATATATACATTCCCTCGCTTCTTGATTGGTTTTTAGAAAATAAACAGTTGATATTCAAAACAACCAAATAATATACATCCGGAGAAAAAGTTATTTCAACAAAAAAGCAAGAAAAAGAAGAACTACTGAGGTGAAACTTGTCCTACAAATGTGTTATGTAAGCTTCAAGCAACAATTGCTTCACATAACACATGGCTTTGTCGTTTTATGGTATGCTACCAACACATGCCAGATTCTGCAGAAAGCAACGGTCAGAATCAAGCGTAAATGAGATGTCACATCAATACCTATGCATGTTTGGAAAAAAAGAAAGATGAAAGGATCGAACAGACATCAGTGTAATACTGGAAAGAGTTTAAGCGTCAACTGTCATGCAACTGGGAGCATTCTTAAACTTATAGAAGGGAAGAAAGAAGATTGGTAACAGAAGTGGAAAATAGACGTTGCAAGTAAAAGGTGCTGCCATATGTGAAAAAATGGAAAACTGTCGCAAAGAATGAACGATATCTGTAGAGGGTTATAATGCATGTTTGTAAGGAAAATAATAAAGAACAAAACTTCATCAATATCCAAACTATTTTTTACTCAACTGTAAATATACAACTATGATGGACTGGTATCTCGTCCAGGGGGAATGTGTAAATATTCTCCTACGATTTTTTCCTACAGAAAACCGAAATTGAGTATCGTCCCTGGGTTCCTTTAAAATACGGGAAGTATTTAACTTATAACTTTTTCTATATTTGAAAGGTGATATGATATGTCTATACTGTTTCAAAATATAAGTTCAGAAAGCTTTCATTCTTCCAATTTTTACTGCTATATTTCACATGGTTTACGCGTATTTAAAATGATACGCGGGATATGTGGAATAATATAATATTTCTCAGAAGACAAATATGTAGAATATTCCTTATTTCAGTTAAGTTACGGCGTG